ACAACGCCGACTACGTTATGAATCTGCATGCCGAGTATCACGCCGTGCTGGAGGAGCCCCTGTGGGACTTCGTGGGAAGCAGCAGTTATTGGCGACAGCTGCACTCCCCAGACTAGCACCAGGCCTGGAGTATCGACGATTACCCAGACACAACCATCTGAATTTCAGAAGCTCAGTAATGAAGTCCCTATGGCACAAGGGGCGTGCTTATCGCTCACCAGCCATCACTTTCACCTTGATTACCAAAGGACATTGCCTCGACCCGATTCAAATATCGACGGCACAACCCCTGCAAGTTGTACGGCGACTCTTCACAAGCCCAGCTGCACCGCGCCTCCTACCCCGAGCTAAGGCCTGCTGGGAGCTAATGAAGTCTCGTTCGACCAGTGCGACAGATGGTGGGCCTATTGGCCGCATATTTACAGTTCTGAACGACCTTGGCTGGACCTGGCCTGAGTTTGATTATTTCAAGCGTGCCAATGGTCAGCTGGTCTACTTGGCAAAGCATCCTGAGGGCTGGTGGCAGCATGTACTTCGAGAAGACTTGCGTCGCTGGGTGTGGTCTACCGACCCTCAGTTGCTTGAGAGAAAAGACATGCTCGGCTCCAAGCTCGGCATAAATTATCATATCACAACGGCCATTCTCAGGCGGGCTGAACGCAGTCTACGGCCAGATGATGACGAAGAAGATAACCCTGACAGTGTCAAGCCTCAGCCCCCACTCCTACTGGATGCGGTGGATGTCACTGTGCCGAAGCTGACACGAGAGCAATTACCCTTTCTGCGCGCCCTGCTCCAGGGAGCAACTGTCACAGGCCACAGGCTTCACCACATCACAGGCCAACGAGATCATCGATATTGCCCTTTTTGTGGAGACCCTGATGAAGATATGGATCATATCCTCCTGCATTGCCCCCAGTGGACCCAGCAGCGCCAACCGTTGCTCGACCACTACACGAAGGATGAGATTCTTGCCCTACCTGTATGCTACCGACAATGTGGCCTCTGCCCAGACAGGCCAGTATATGACAATTTCGCATCTGAGCTGCTGCCTGATGAACCTGATCTTCCACCTCCCCCTCACCATGCTGATGGGAATTACGAGCCAGGCCAGGACGAACACAGCACCATACGCGAGAAGGAAGGATACTTAGTGGTGGCAGGGGGTGGTGCCTGTCCTGGACAGGCGTCAGACTTACGCCTACGAAGATCTGGTTACGGTCTCTACTATGGAGAGAACCATCCCTGCAACGTTTCTGTCCCGCTGAGGAGCGTCTCACAAGGAGCTCAGAGGGCTGAGGTCAGTGCCCTTCGACACTTTGTATCCTGGGCATGGTCCAAGCAGCTCTACCTTACCGACAGCGGATACTGCGTCAGAAATTTTACTGCTATCCTGAATGGCATGACTATTCATCCTCGCCAGCATCGTGACCTGTGGACAGCTATCGCCACAGGAGTCGCTGCGAAAGGATCAGATTGTTTCCGCATTGAGAAGATCAAAGCACATCGCAAACGAGATGAAGTACCCCCAGAAGACCTACCTGACTGGGAGGCTAACAAACAGGCAGATGACAGTGCTGTTCAAGCTGCACGCCAACATAGTGTGCCAGTGGATATCAGACACCAACACCTGCGAGATCAGCATCTATGTTGCACTCTTCAGCACACAGCCACGATCATCTTGGCTGCACGTGCAAAGCAACTTCAGGCTATGGGAAGAGACACTCATCATGCCCGATGCGCTCAAGCCCAAGCTATGCAAAATGCCGAACTGGAAGGTGCAGATCCCCAATGGCCAGACGAGGATGCTGAGGATCCTTGGGCCCATCTCGGCATGGACGATGACGGTACGAACGAAGCAGGTGAACAGAGAGCTGCATTGCCCCTGGTCCTGAGGACTGAGGCATCACCAGAACCCCATCTGGGAAATCAGCCAGCGACTGTCTCACCGACCCTGACACAGGATGGTTCTTCTGCTAGCCCGACGGCTGCAGCCACAACGGCGGCTGCGGACACCCCTCGCAGTTGTCTACGAGAAGGCCAACCTGCACAAGCACCAATGCACCGCTTGCGGAGCAAAACACCGCGACATACGGCGACATCCTGTACTACAGATACGCCACCGACAACCACCCCAGCCTCATCATCTCGTCCGGCTGCGGACCCCGCAACATCAGCGTCGTCAAGCTCCACGTGGGTACGACCAGCTTTAGATCAGATGACTACCAATCCTTTGACCTGGAGTCCGAAGATGGCCTTCCCTGGTTATCCCTGGGACCCTGTCGAGGTGAACTTGCCTGAGTGGGAATTCGAACCACAGATTCCAGAGACACTGACAGGCAAAGATTGGTACTACCAACAGGCTCTATTTCCTGCGATTGTCTGGTATTTTTCGCAACTTCGATGGGCTGCTGATGATACACCAATGGCGCCCATGTCCGTTTCCTGGGCGGAGTTGGCGATTGACTTCACTATCTGTACTGGATTACCGTTGGTCACGCCAGCGGAAGACCCACAGACTGCTACTCTTGAGCGCATGGCGAGATACTTCTCGACAGCTGCTACTCGGATGGGCTATTTGTGCAAGTGCAAATTGGGACCACGTGAATGTTTTAAAGAGATTCGCGCTTTATCACCACTGGGTATACGTGCAGTGCCTGGCTTCAAGTGCAGGCCAGTGTTTGTGAACCACCAACACACGATGCGAGTACTGTATGCTGTGGCTTTGGCGACGACGGAGAAGACAAAAGGCATTCGAGTGCAGCCAGCTTGGGGTTCAGTACCCAAGCCCATATGGCAACCACCGAAGCTAGCCGAGAATCTTTCAACAACGGTGAGGCCAAGCGATATTGTTGCAAGGGCCGCTGCTGCAGCTGAACATGTCTCTGAGGTGCGACGGGCTCATCATGTCACTTCTGTCAAGGTCATGCGAGCTACCATCACTTGGACGGACGAGGAGAAGAAAGATTGGGAGGGCCTCAAAGGCCGAGATCTTCAGAATGAGCAGAAAAGACTTCTGCACAACCGCGAGGCACGCCAACAGGGATATCATGTGCTTGCTCCTCTCAAGGGGCCGAACAAGGATCAACCTGCCAAATTGGTGTGCATCAATTGCAAGCTCGAGTCAAAAGTGAGCCAGCTTGGCTCATGGTCGCGCCATCTTTGTCAACCTGGAGCTCCACGTGGCCCACGTCTCGGCAAAAAGCGCACCGCTGCTGACTACGTAATCATGGTAGATGAGCATAACAAGAGGACCAAGATTCCAGGCAACCGTTGTCACGTTCTCACACACTACCGAGCTGACCAAAAGGACAAGGAATTGGTTTGTACTCTCTGTGGCTCCACAGCACCGACAAGAAGGTTTCAGCAATTTACTGCCGCTCTTTGTGGAGGGCGTTAGGACGCAAAATCCAGGCTAATCACCTGGTTTAGTCGCACAGCCATCGTCCACCCCTCTGGTGCACCTGCCTGTTGGACTTAGGTCGCTCGCAGGACAACAGCGCGTAGGGGTGGCGGTGAGTCTGGTTTTGCTGGATGCATCTGGTATGCTGGATGTATTGTTTTATCTATCGCCGAGGGGGAGGACCCGTAGGGCCATTACTGGTGGCCACGATGCCTTAATCGCGACGGAGCGTGCTCCCCCTCGGTCGGCGCTGTGATTATTGATTATTGTGACATGGTGGGCTCAAATATTTGCGCACGTCCACTGTATACGGGCCCCTTGCATTGCATGAGAGGGTATCTTCATATGAATTATCAGGTGAGGAGGCAGCCAATGGCAGTTTTTTCTCTTGGAATGCACACATGAGCAACATCAAGATAGAGTTCTCATATGATATGTCGTACATGGAGCGGGACATCAGTACACATACTGGTATTTCCTCACTCAGATGCTAGTGTTGAACCTTCCGTCGCCGAGCGGGCACTGAAGGCAACAAGACTTTCTCAGTTATAATGAAGCAGGGAAGACTTCGAGTTTCCCTCAGCCAGTACTTCAGTGTATGGGCTGCTATTATTACATACTGTTCTGATGAAATGGTTCACTGCGGACGAGTGCCAAGGTGAAGGATGAGAACAAGGAGGAGGCTCACGAGTTCGAGGAGGGCGAGGCGGAGAAGGAGGAACTGGATTCGGGGGTGGTGGACGAGGGATACGACGGAGGAGGACGAGGTGGTGACGTCAGTGAAGCAGCTCAGGCAACACCGGGGAGCATGCAGCAAGAAGGAGGCGGGCGCCTCCCGCGGCGTGCCGCCCGCTCTTGCGAGCGCCCGCCTCCCACCCCAGGGTCGGAGGGCACCAACTATCACCAACGCCGATCCTGGCCCAGGATCACCCTGGGCCCAGGATCAGTGTAT